AATCAGCATGCTCGATTACCCTCCTGTGCAAACTCCCAGCCCCGTAGCTCAAACTTTGCAAAAAAATCGATAAAATCGATAAAAAATAATGGACAATTTCAAAAACTAATATTGTATTCGGAATTCCCATGCTCGATTACCCCCTGTGCCAAATCCCAGCCCCGTAGCTCAAACCTTGCAAAAAAATCGATAAAATCGATAAAAGTAATGCACGATTTCAAAAACTAATATTGTATTCGGAATCCCCATGCTCACTTACCCCCCTGTGCCAACTCCCAGCCCCGTAGCTCAAATTTTGCAAAAAATCGATAAAATCAATATCGATCGATACGAAAAGTAGCCTATGACACCCGCCGGGGCCCGAAGTGTATGTGTGCCAAGTTTGGTCCCGATCGGTTCAGAAATGGAATTTTCTATTCGGAACATACGTACAGACAGACAGATATACATACAGACAGACAGACATACATACATACAAACAGACATTCAGCTTTATATATAAGATATATATAGAACTCAAAATTTGTGTGTTCGTTTGGTTGTTGGTTCGTTATGGACGCCCGCCAATGAACCGACTGAGCTGAAACTTTGCACACATATGTATTCGATCCCGGAGCTGGTTTAGCGCTACTTTTTGCTGCAATTCGCTGGGCCATTCTATTGATTTATTGATTTTTCGCATAAGAATGAGTTTTCAAAATGGGCTAACAAGTCATTTCTATAATTTGTAAACAACAGCAGTGGAGTTCATTCGATTCTCGCGGTAGGAAGAATGCAGTGGTTAAAGGCAGTGTCCGGGCAAAAACTCGATTTTGAGATTTTGTGCTTACCCGGGCCTATTCGCTATGCTGAATCCGAAAATCCACATTGGAGAGCGCGAAAACGGTGAAAAAGGGCTCTGACACTGGAGGGAAATCAGCAAGTGGGCGGGGTCTTCCCCACTGTGAATTCACGTGCTATACGTGTTTGCGTTGAATGTACAAGTTAGGGACATAGATACTTTCCCAGTGATTCTTGGAACTCTTGCGAATCCTGGACTTCTCATGCCCCACAATAGCGCTGCATTTTGTCGTTTGGTGCTTCGTAGATCGAAAATAAACGAATGCATGGGTTTCATTATACGGTGTTTGTTAAGAACCATGTGGCCTCGGCAGAGTTCACGCAATTTCATCGCCGCGATTCTTCCAACAAAACAAACAGTTACGAGTTTATTACATGCCGATCATCTTGCATTTCGGTCGTGATAGTTCTCCAACACGACCAATCGTCACTAAGTATCACAACCGAAATGCGAGATGATCGAAATGCAATGGACTCGAGATGATCAGACTGCAATGTAGTGCTTGTCTTGTTGGAAGAATCGCGGCGACGAAATTGCGTGAACTCTGCCCGAGGCCTTTATCCTCCCCACCCATTAGTGTTTGTATGTATGTCAACGAACATTTCAACGTGGAAGAACGGTCGTGCATCCTCAGTACACACCCGTTTGTTCCTATGCAGCTTGATGGGTATCGGATTGTTTATGTATACTACATACATTATGTTCTTGTTCTCATTATCAACCAAATCAATTGAGGTTACAAGTCTTTCTGTGCAAAAAATGATACAGCGGATTATGACGTTGACATGTGACACATATATTTGAAGGATGAAATCAAAATAACATTATATACTGTGAATTTCGCGATCCTTTGATATCGCCTGGTAAGGAGGCACAGTTCACGAGATTTCATTGCCGCGATTCTTCCAACAAAACAAACAGTTACGAGCCTATTGCTTAGCGATAGGCTCGTAACTGTTAACGAGCGATTATCTTGCATTTTGGTGTGATAGTTCTCCAACACGACCACTTGTGACTAACTATCACACCCGAATTGCAAGATGATCGGGTTAACTGTGCCTGAGGCCTCACGCAACACCAAACTACAAAGCGCGGCATTATTGTGGCGCATAGGAAGTCTAGGAAACACAGGAATAGCAAGAATCAGAATTGCAGGAATTCAGAACTGGGATATCAGCAGTGTTGGAGTGGACAGTAAAAATACTGAATTGAGATATTTGCGGTATTATCAAAATCGCACAAAAATCACGCAGCAAATGCCACAACTTGGTTTGCTTGTGTTTGTTTACTCGTGCTTTTATTATCACATTTGAGTTCAGCAGGTCACTTTGCTTTTGAAAGATTACATTCAGGCTTTGATTTCCAAGATGTAAATGCGTCGTTTCGATTTTTTCCGTGACGCCGATATCGTCCTCAGCTAATGGGTTGGAAGAATGTTTTCCGATTATCTACACTGTAAATTTCAACTCTGTTTGGGTTCGGAATCCCCATGCTCACTTACCCCCCCCCCCCCCCCAACTCCCAGCCCCGTAGCTCAAATTTTGCAAAAAATCGATAAAATCGATATCGATCGATACGAAAAATAGCCTATGACACCCGACGGGGCCCGAAGTGTATGTGTGCCAAGTTTGGTCCCGATCGGTTCAGAAATGGAATTTTCTATTCGGAACATACGTACATACATACAGACAGACATACAGACATAAAGACAAACAGACATTCAGCTTTATATATAAGATATAATAAGCGAAGCAGCTTTTACAGGATTCCATAAAACTTTCTCAGAACGAAAATTGTTCAATGCTGTCTTGCCAATAAATGGACTCATTTCTTGAAACGAGACTAAAGCTGACTCAACGCCTTTTGAGATGCAATCTTAGCGAAGTCCTGTCGCATAAAACCGTGGGTTTTCCTTCCTTAAAACCAATCTCCTTGTGTTTTTTTGTTTTTAGGGGCAGAAGTATGATGCAAAGTATGCAAAGTAGAAGGGGTCAGAAATAAATTTCCTGCAAGCTTATGCATAGTTGGACATTGACACTTAGAAATTTTTGGCGCAAGTATCTTGCTGCCTGAGCCCATGAGTCTTTTGTGCTTCTTTGCTTTTCGGGGCATGGCTTTTGTGAAGTGGGAGAGCCAAGTTTCAGTGAATGTCCTGTCGCAAGAAGTCTCGAGACCAAATTCTCTGTGCTTTTCTGATTTCTTTCATGGGCAAAAGTATGGTTTTTGCGAAGTTTAAGGTATCAAAAGTTTTGGAGGAACTGAATTTTCGTCTTCTCATCAATCTTTTCCGTGCCAAAAGTAGTAATTGAAGTAGTAGAAGTAAGACACCATGCTCTCAAGAAAAGAAGCTGATAACGATGACAGTGAAAATCCTGTCGCATAAAGCTCATGGGCCTGCTCTTCCCTCGAGACAACTTCCTGACCTTTTCTGCTTTAAGGGCAGAAGTATGGTTCTTGAAGGCAGAAGGAGCCGAAAGTTGATTTCAGGCAAGTTTCTTTATGATTTAGAATTGACAGTCAGAAGTTCTTAGCAAAAATGTCTTGCCGTTTGAAGCCCTTCCGTCTTTTCTTCCAGCGGAACCTACCTCATTCTGCTTTTTTGCTTTTAGGGTCAAAAGTAGGATTTTCATGAGGTAAAAGGTGGCCAAAAGTGAATATGCCTGCTGAGTGTGCTCTAGAAACTTTTCACGAAAATTATCCTCGCTCGCATATCTAGGACATTGGATGAAGCCCAACCCCAAGAACAAGCTGGATTCCGCAGGTTCAGTCGCATGGACCACATCCAGACGGTTTCGAGGGTCATAGAAGTCCGATGGAAGTACCGACTGCTTTTAGCCCTAACTTTGTCGAGTACGAGAAAGCCTTTGACAGCGTCGAAACCAACGCCATCCTGTCTGCGCTAATCGATCAAGGAGTGGACCCAGCTTACGTGAGGACGTTAACCGACTGCTATAAGGACTGTACAGCGACGATGCAGCTGTTCCATCGTCCCCTGACCATCCCAATTGGGAAGGGGGTCCGACAAGGCGACACAATTTCGCCAAAGCTGTTCCCTGCGGCCTTGGAGTGGGTGATGAAAACACTGGACTGGGATGAGAGAGGCATACAAGTTAATGGGAGATTCCTGTCCAACCTTTGTTTTGCAGATGACATTGTTCGTTCTCTTCTCGAACAGTATCACTGAAGCAGAGACGATGCTGAAGGAACTTAACGAAGTGGGAAAGAAGATCGGATTGCGAATTAATCGGAAGAAGACTCAGTTCATGAGGAACGCCCTTTGCGAAGAATGCGGAAATGAAACAGGTACCCCTGTTTTGTAGACTCCTTCTTATGTGTATTTCGGATGTCCGATAAACATGGAAAACGACTTGATGAAGAACTTAACAGGAGAAGAAGAGCAGCCTGGGCCCCTTCGGGCCTTTGAAGGAAGCCACCTGAACGGAGGAACTGACGGACTCGGAGCTTCGTGCCTACCTGTTCGACTCAACCGCTCTCCCGGTGCTCTGTTACGCAGCTGAGACTTGTGCCGACACCGTAGCCACGTCGAAAGCTTTACGGACCACCCACAGAGCGCTCGAGCGCAGTTTACTGAAGATGACCCGACACAAACCATCTTGCCGACTTCGCAGTACGGATTTGAAAAGAATGTCTCTCTTCGTGACCTAGGGGAATACGTTGCGAAGGCGAAACACCGATGAGCCGATCACATCATGAGAAGAACAGACGACAGATGACTAAGAAATCGAGTGTATTCCTCGCGAAGCCAAAAGCCAAAAGCCTCGAGGAAGACCTCCGACGAGATGGGCAGAAGTGTTCGTGGAACGGATGGACCAGCTGAGATCAGCTGGATACGGTTATAGCACCTAGAACTCGTGGACGAAGCCACCACGGCAACCAAGACGATCGTGGATGTCTGAAGCGAGGGACAGGGACAAATGGAAACTTTTGCGCTGAGGCCCACACGATTCGTGAAGATGGGCCATCTAAGGGCCGCATGCACTAACCTCCCCGCGGGGAGGTTAGTGCATGCGGCCCTAAGTATTTGATTGTAAGTAAGTGATTATATCCTATACATTTAATTATACTTACCCTAGCCTCGCTGGAAGGGACTCAAAAACAGTGAAGAGTTAATCTATATAGTAAAAAAATGCACGTTTCTATTCGGTACGCCTTTATGCCAACAAACACAGCTGCCATAATGCATTCATTTACACAATCAAACGAGATTTTTCTTTTCGGCTTCTCTCTTTCTGCGGCGATTCTCAGCCTCCTTCTTGACTACTTCTTTTTCAAGATACCACTGCTCCTAAGTCAAGATCTGTTAGTAGAACAATTTAGGGTGCTACCCTGAGATTTTTTAGCCAAAGTTTAGATTCAGATTTCTCTTGGAACTGAGGGCTCGATATGCCATTTATTAGAATGGACTCAACTCGCATCTTAAAATGGGGTACAATTATCAGCCTCTTTTCGTGCACTTAGCTGTACATTCACTGGTCAAATTTCGGAACTTACAGGAATTATGCATAAGTATATTTAGAGACTGCCGTGAAGGGAGATCAGTACTTAATCAAACTTCACTTAAGTCTCGTAATAAAATCTGAGATTTTTTTATTCAATCATAGATCTGCTTTCGCGAAGATAACCCCACTATTCAGAACCTATGCATTTTCCACAAATAATGATTTACCAACATGATACATGCATTAGCAGAATTTGAAACAGTTTTCTTCACTCGTACAATTCACGAAAACTTCCCGAGAGTCACTTCGGGAACTTCCTCCAAAGCCTAACTTCCTCTAAAGCCTTCGGGATGTTCTGCAATAGTCCTCTCAAAGTTCCCAAGAGTTGGGAATTTTCCGCGGGCTTTAGATGAATCGTTGCGTTGGTATACAGAACCGCAATAATGACATTGCTCTTTCTCTCCCGCATTTTTACAAGGGAATCTACCTAACTTAGCTCGGCCTTTTGGCAAGGGACATATGCACTGAACAGCTTAAAACGTTGATTTCAAATAGCTATTTCTAACTGCCACGCGCCATTCCGAAGCGAGTTATGGGCTTTTTCCTGCGCAAAATTGGCATGCTCATCGACTCACGTGCAGCACGTCATCATCATTTGAGTACTGATACACCTGCGTTAAGCTTTTTTTAGTTAGAAAAGATTGGATTTGTTCTATTTCGATACCTCAGCACCTTTTTCGTGCAGATTTTTATCTACAGGCAGTCTTCTCATGTCCAGTAGTATGTCAATTTTGCGTAGAAAAAAGCCCATAACTCGCTTCGGAATAGTGCGTAGCAGCTAGGAATAGCATATTTGAATCAGCGTTTAAAGCTGATTCAGAATATATATGTCTTTTACCAAAAGGCCGAGCTAAGTTAGGTAGTATTCCTTATTAGTTCACTTGCAACAAAAGTAAACGGATGATCATCACAGCACAATAAAGCGCAGATTCTCCCATCCGATGTCAACCGCCAGTGGATATTTGTCCAGATCTCTTCATTTTTGTATATTCACATGTTTCCGTAAAGTTCAACGGTCCGACACCGCATCACACCCCCCCCCCTTTCTAAGTTAAGAACAATCTATGACAATCTATCTAATCGGTATGATTTACGTTAACTTCTTAGCGGTCTTTCGTTCTGCTTCGGTAATGTTTATCATGACACCAAGCCGAGTGTAGTAATTTGATAAGCTACCATCTCCGCTATATTGAATATTGAATACGCTAAATTTATCATTGAAGGCACCGTCCACCCTAAGTTGAGGGTCTTGAGCTTTTGGCAGCATATGATAGTAGGACCCCCCTATTAAGCCAATGCCCAAATTGCGGCGCAAAGTGCCGCTTCGGAAGCGAGGAAATCGCTCCGGAATAAAGAAAATGCACGAGGACTTCCAGACGGCACCGCCCTCCCCATCCATGCCCGCTCATTTGTACGCGCCCATCGAATCACCGTTCCGGAAAGCCGGCCTGTGTGTTCTCCGGAACGGAGATTGCCAGACTTTTTGCAAACTCTCACTTCATATTCAGAATCAAGGACATGAGAAGGTCCTGAAACGACAAAAACCTGGAAGTCAAAAATCTGGGTGGACGACGCCTTTGAGACGGTACACATTTGAAGGTCTTTGCACGAGTCTCAAATTTTGAGCGGATTTTGCACTAGATTAGCTTCTTTCGTAAAAATCATATCCTCGAGTCATTTGTAACTCAATATTTGAAAGTGCACACCCTGCGCGGCAATGGCACCCTTACTAACATGAAAAAACAGGTTTTGAAGAGAACTCTCTGCGAGAGAAATTGACAGCATAGTACGACGACGATTGAAACCCGAAAAGTACATACACTGTAGATTAGGAATCGAAGTGGCCTTTCATGAATAAGATTCAGTTTATGTGATCACATATGGCATTTCAGTGAAGTGAACGTAGCAGTATTAACAACCATTCTCGAAAAGTTCTGGATATTGAGGAACTTCCTGAGGGAGGAAAATTCGCAACATTGCCCTTAACGTTAGAGTTTTTGGGAAGTTTCCATTTATTCGTGTCCACTGAGCACCAGTAATAATCGAACCTTGGGAAGTTTGGTAAAATCGTTTGCCTTCGGAAAGTTCCCGTGATGTCTGAATATGGCAGCGAATGTATAGGCGATTTCCATGCGTATAGCGAGCGTGGCCATGCAGACATTTGAACACGCTGAAAGACTTGTTGAACCTCCATTTAAAAGCATTAGTTTCTTCACTCTCTAGCAGCTAGAAACTGCCACGCGCATACGTTGGCAGACGTTGGCAAAGCTCCGCCCGCTATATTGTGGGAAAAGGATGATAGTAGGTTGATGCAAAATTAATGATCATTTTCCAAGCTTTTTTCAGTGGTCAACATACCCTGTGGGTTCCGCTATCCAGTGGATGAGGAAAAACAGTGCCACGGGGTTAGATCGGCATTCACAAAAAGCACTGCTATTCGAGAACCCACTAGCTTCGTGACTACCGATCTCGCGGGTTAAGCCTAGCGGCTGGCTTCCGGAACCCACTGATTTCGTTGATAAATACGGTCACAGAATAACGTTTTCTCTTCAAGATTTCCTCTTCAAATCAGACACAGCATACCAATGGCAGCACTTTTCATGCTTTATCTAACGATTGTTGGAAGGGCTTCCAGCTTCCGTCGTCAAAAAGCTACAGGCTTCAATAAGCGCATCCAAAACAGCTCATTGCACTCACTTTTCTGGCCAGAATTCAAGCGCGAATCGACGCTTTTTCGAAAATCCAGCTTCCGTACTTGAAAAAATTGACTACATTAGGCCTACGGCATACCTCACGCGATTTTAGTCGCCGCGCGATTCGGCACTGCAACTTTTCTCCATAGCTGGCCGTAAACGCACTTTGCTAGGGCCAGACTTGCTGTGTTTGTTACAACTTACGGAATCTACGCACCCATGCATCTGAGAGCCTCGCACGCTCAATCTCTAGACATCTGGCAAATCGCCAGATCGCGAGGATGTGGCGATTTCGCGAAATCGCGGGAGGTATGCCTTAGGCCTAACGCATACCTGATTATTTTCTTGAACTAATAACTAACTAACTAAACTAGACTGGGATATCGGCGCCTCAACTGGATAGCCTTGCGTCATTGTACGCCCTATAAATTTCTTTAAATAAGGCAATCGCCGAAGCGTTACTCTATATAAGTGGGTTAGGGCATCCTGTTGACAGTTTCTGCAAAAGTATTTAGCTGTTCATTATGCAGAAAATCAGGAATTTCTATAATTCGGGACTTTGAAACCTGTTAAAAAAATATTGAAAAAGCTGACAATTTTAGATTTTACTTTCTATTTTTTTCTTTGTCTAACAAGGGAATGATAAGTTTCTGCAAAAGTATTTAGCTGTTCATTATGCAGAAAATCAGGAATTTCTATAATTCGGGACTTTGAAGCCTGTTAAAAAAATATTGAAAAAGCTGACAATTTTAGATTTTACTTTCTATTTTTTTCTTTGTCTAGCAAGGGAATGATACTTGGTCTAAGTGGCGTTTCCATAAGAAATGTATACTATCTCATAGGGCATAAAACGCTAATTCCAAATCTGTTTTTCTTATCTGCAGAGCGCTTCTGCGAGGGAATTCATAAAAATTTTCTGAGGTAAAATTTTAATGATTTGGCTAAGGTAAGAACAGCCGTTGAGATCTTCTAGGCGCTTGAGAGTAGTAATGACTGACATGAGTTTGTTAAAGTGAAGGTTTATATTGCGTAAAAGGCCCTGGTAGTAATCATGGCCCCATGTGAACTCTCGAATCAAAGTTCTGAATGCTTTTATTGCAGCTGCGCTTTCAAGATTTTGTATCGAAAATTTTTCATAAATCTCCTCCCAGAAGCGCTTTGCAGATAAGGAAAGCAGATTTGGAATCAGCATTACATGCTCTGTAAGATAGTATAGATTTATATGGAAACGCCACTTCGACCAAGTATCTTTCCCTAGTCCCTTTTATATTCATTTGTCCCACGGCTTGCGGCTATAATATGGGCAACTATCATTTACCAGTGCGCCACTTCTGCTGCGCACAGGCTCGTACTTGAACTATGATCGGTTTCCAAATTCGTGTGGAGGTTATTGCAGACTTTGCCTGATAACACAGGTAAACTTGTTAAACCTCCACGTCAAAGCATTGGTTTTCGTAACTCTCTCGCTAGCAAAACCGCCACGCAGTGAGTTGGCAAGACTCCACCTTCACACAAATCTGGAAGCCGATGATACATCTCTGTGCAAAATCTTTCAAAAGGCTCAGTTAAAATCTTGGCAAATTGACCATTTGCGCCACCCACTTTCTGGCACCGTTTTCGTAAAGTGAGGAACTTTTGATTACTTTTTGGTTAAAGTTTACGGCTTGCACATCAACTCGTCAAACATATCCATGACTTTGCAAAAAGTGATACTAAGGACCGAATTTGCTAGCCAGAATCCAAGTGGATGCGTTGAGGCGCAATTTTCAAAATATCCACAGTAAATGCGCTTGTGCTTTTGCAAGGTGGACTTTTATTGGTAGCAGGCACTATGTGAAACTTGGGCTCGAGACGTTGGCTGGAACACGCTCCAGGGCCCGGCACGAGGCGGGCAAACGACAAGCAACTTGGTTTGGGCAAAAAAGCAAAGGGGCATCGTTTTTGCGGGCCCGGGGTTGAGCCCCGGAAAGAATGGCAGTTGAAATGGCAAACGAACCTGCCTCTTCCCAAAAATTCGCTTTCGCGCGCGTCAAAGCTCGCCGTAGATGACTGCCGCACGCGCGACGTCGCTTAACCGAGGCACGAAAGCATACATGACTAGTTCTCAATATGTGCAAGGCATGTTATGGCATCAAATTGCCTTAATGACCGAACATAGGCTAGTGGGGACAAGGTATGAAAAGTTATGAAAAGCTTGTGTATGGATGACGTAGTAAGCTTTCTTCCAAAATTTCTCATAACTGGCGAAAGTGGAGATGTGAAATAAAATGTCTCGTTTGCAAAGCACACTTGAAAATATGGTACAAAACTTGGTACATATGTGTACACGCCTGTAGAAATTAACTTAAAAGTTCCATAGAAAGATTATGTGACTGAAGGTTGTGGCAAGCTTATTCTAAAAACATCCCACTACTAAAAAAATGGAAAAATGGCTCGCTTGCAACGCACAGATGACGAATGGCACGAAATTTGGTCTGTACAGGCGCAGCGGGACTAAGGAACCAAGTATAAAAATATGAAAAACTTATGTGATTAAAGAGCATACTTAACTTTTCAAATTAGGTGGGCAGTTGCCCACCTAATTTGGAAAAGGCCAAGCTTCCATTTCATATAGGTTTCTCAAATTTTTAGATACCTGGTACCAGACCAGATATGTTCTACATCGGTTCTAAAGCTCCTCCTTTCCTTGTAGGATCCGAAATAGAAACGATGCCGGCGCTTTGGAGGAAGAAAGCGCGCTTCAACTGAATAACGTATACTGTTGGCGGGACCAAGCGGGGATTCGTAAAAATCGATAGTGGCGAAAGCGAAATTGTTTCACCGATGTTCCTATCGTCCTTTCACCCCGTTGTAGCGGGCACGCAGCCCCAGACGCTGTCCCGCGAAGCGGTTTTGACCTCGGCGCAGGGTCGATACGGCTGACCAGCTGTTTATCCGTCTACTGTCGCAGGAATCAATGAGTTTTGGATAATTTCTTATCTTTCTGCTTGCAGGTGGCAACAAAGGGATGGAAAGTGAGTCGAGAAAGTCAGATAAGTTTATTTATAAGTGATCCATCCTTTTGTTGCCACCTGCAAGCAGAAATATAAATAAGTTATCAAAACCCACCGATTCCTGTGGCAGTGGACGGATGGACAGCTGATAAGCCGTATCGACTTTGCGCCGCAGTCAAAACCGCTTCGCGAGAGAGCGTCTGAGGCTGCGTGCCCGCTACTATGGGGTGAAAGGACGATACCACCCTCGTGCTGGGCCTACCACGATACCACCCTCGTGCTGGGCCTTGACACGCTCTACGAGTTTCGTAGAGCGTGTCAAGACATATACACATATACACATACACACATACGGACACACATACACACGCACATACACACAAATAACATACATGTAAATACCCTAGCCCGTTATTATAAGTTATGATACTTATGTATTTTGAAGGGAGCTATAATTTGTCAAAAGCAAGGTTTTGAAAAAATCTTTTTTGTTTTTCAATTCATATTTTTCTGCCCATTTGTGGTGTGAGTACAGATGAATGTGCGCTATATTGCAAAGAGTTTGCTGCTTTTGAAGGTCTTTATGGCATTCAAAAAGTAGACTTTTTCCAGCTAAAGCACGTCGAGAATTCGCAACACGGTCATTGCTTTTGCATCAACCCATCAGAAACGCTTAAGTTTCAATTTTCCGAGTCAGTCACGTCGTCAAAATTCCGAGATACAGCTTACCATCCGAAATGTCGGTAAGGCTTGAGGCTACTTCGCGCAATTTCAGTCGCGGCCCGAGTAGACAATATACAACTGTTTATATCTCATCGTGAACGTTCCGAATGACAAAAGTAGGACACTTCACTGGTCTACGAAAGTTACACATGGCAATTTTAGCCTGCATGCCCCTAACATAATTCTTGTGACTTCCTGAGTGAGCAAACTCTGTATTGGTAAGCCATTAATCTTGTTCTTTTCTACCCCCACAGTCTGCACGCAAAGGCAGTAACTCGGCATATCCTCGATCTAGAAGATTCTTGCTTTTCCGAAGCCATTCGTTAGACTTGGACGAATGGAACAGTCTGTGCCAGAACTGGACCAGAGCCGTTGTGAGACCCTTATGCCTGTAACAGTTGCACGCCACCTGCAAAGGTGAGAGGAAATCGCGAATTTGTGCGGGCGTATAGAACTTGCTTGCGCGCACGGGTTTGAGGGCAATTTTTTTTCGTACGGGGCACACACTGTGCAACCGGAATTGCTCTGCTTTCATATTTGGGAAGGGGGGAGGAAGTAAATAACCTATCACATCACTGGAATGTTCACTATTGTCGAGCCATTGTGTGAAAGAGGGAAGCAAAGCGACGTTACAAAGCACACGAACCGTGACTAGTTCTTTGCTCTTATTCATTCTATCAAGTTTCTCTCGCCGAATTATGGCGAAGTATCTAAAAGAAAAGTCAGTGTGCAACGATTTGCTCAGAGGATATTCCCCCTTTTACCTATGCAGGTGTTCTTGAGGATTACCTGTAGGAAAGCACAGTTATGTTGAAGCAGATGGTGATCACTAGAGCGAGAAGCGTAATGTGGAACCACTCGCTTTTCGGTACATCACGTTCATCATCGCCTAGCATTCGTACGGATCCACTGGCATGCTGAAAGGTTTTTCTATAGAACGTTCAACAGCAATGGCAAGAAGAATGTATGGAATAGCTATAATCTAGCTTCATTTTTATGCAGACTTGTACAAACAATGCAGCAAGATTCCACATTTAGAAAAAAAAACTTGGCTTTACAAATGTTCTCATGTCGCACCTGTTCTGGCCCCATAGCTCAGAGTTTGCAAGAAATTGGTAACAATTATTAGGTTGTCAAAAATAACGTCTTTTTTATTTGCATGCTATGGCATCGCAACAATTTTGCAAACCGCGAAATTGCATGCTGCATACTGCTTGAGGGGCAAGCTCTACAAGATAGCATCTGAACATTCGCTCAAAGTTTGTTCTACATAAAGCTCGAAACCAAAATCTAATACAGGGTGTCCCAAAAAAATGTATCGAACGTTTGGTCGTTAATATCTCTCTTCCCAAGAAGTCTTTTGCCTTGCTTCAGGTACCATTTTGTAGAGCTGGCTTCAACTTAGATCTGCATTATAGAACGAACCACCCATCTCTCTTCATTACTGTAGGATTACGGTAGAAACTTGAAACATATGGTGTCGATGTGGAAAAAGCTGCCGTTTCAAATTTTCCAAAAAAATGTGAAAAGTTATGTATTGGGGTTTTTATGGACACCGAGTTCGATACTCAACTATTCACAAGATTACGAAGCTTTCTAAACGGTGTAACCGCACTTTTTAGGAACATTGAAAAAATGGCTGCTACCTCTTACCTGGTATTACTCTTCAATGAAGCATCATAATAAATCGGGAACTTTACATTTATAATCAGAACTCTAATTAGCCTAGTGTAAAAGTTTTCAGGCTGTTTTGTTTCCTTTCTGGGGCAAAACATGGCCTTTCATTGCTTAAAACCCTCTTTGAAGTTTCTACCGTAATCCTACTTTAATGAAGAGAGATGAGTGATTCGTTCTATAATGCAAATCTAAGTTGAAGCCAGCTCTACAGATTGGTACCTGAAGCAAGGAAAAAGACTTTTTCAGAAGAGAGATATTAACGATCAAACGTTCGATACATTTTTTGGGACACCCTGTATATAAAGAATCGTTAACTCAATTCAAAGATGTGCAGATAGCGGGAAACCTCTATGCGGTCCCGAAGCGCGCGCATGCTGCTAGCACTTTCAGTTACTGGTGCACTAATCTAAAAAAAATTTGGATGCATGAAAAATCGAAAAAAATCGTACTCCGTCCAGAAAAGTTCTTCGAGTTTCTTACTTAATCAGGCACATACTTTCTACATGTGGTATTTAACTGTGAATTTGCTGGTTTTTTCCATGAACAGAAATGATGAATAAATTAATTTTCCAGTTTTTGCCAAAACTGCGCTGGACTGCTCCCACATTTGATTCTACATATGAACCTTTGAAAGTAAAACCATAGATTTTTGATTTTAGTTTCAGGCGCTAGTTTAAGAAAGAGTAAATTTGTCCTGAAAAAGCTTACTTTGGCTTACTTTTCCTCTTTGATGTGTGTATCCCTCTCGAGTTCGAGCTATGGAAAAAATGAGGAAATTCAAGATAAATACCAGAAGTAGAGAATATGTATCTAGGCAAGTTTGAAGCTTGTAAGACTTTTTTGAACGGAGAAACGTATTTTGCCGATTTTTACATGCAATCAGATTCTCACATTTGGCTTGAAACTTACGTGAAACAAATTATAGCAAATATTTGGGTACCTTCTTGTAGAGCTTTGTTCTATCGAACCAGGGCTCAGCACGAGGTGGCAAAAGGAATTTTCGAAAACTAATTCTCCTTCGACCTCAAAAATTTTTCACGAATACCCCTTCAAACAAAATCTGGTTTTTGTGATTGTGCGGCGAATAGTTTAACATGAAAAAAATATTTTATCAAAAAAATCTATCGAGAAACTTTACCGACAGCAATATCGAAAAAACAAAGGTGGTGATCATTGCGGAAATCTACAATGAGATCAATTTTAAAAAGCTCAACACATAATGGTAAATCATCATGTGGATCCCCACACCAGTTAAGAGATCACAGAAAAATGAGACTGAAAGAAAGTACCATAAATCAACCACAACAAAAGATAAACTTCCACTCTTAAAAGTAGATTGCTCATCTAGTCCTTTTCATGTCATCTGCATTTGGCCACGGAGGACCCCGCAGGAAGCTTTATCGACATAAGAAGAGTTGCGCTATCATTCTGAATGTAAATTTCAAGATACGAAACCGTTTAACAGCCAGTATATAATATTTATACTGAAAAAACCTAACTGAGACTGGATGCAGGTGTAAGTGAAAATAGATGCAAACATGCACGTTCTACCCACATCCGCTGAAGTAAAGAACGCGGAAGACACTGGCTACCATGACAGATTTGATATACTTTTTTCACACAATCATGCTGAAGAGCTTTTGGGGGGAGACCGGGTAGGCAGATCACAGGTTCTCTTGTACACTAAGCAAAAAGCTCTACTAAGCTCTCTGAGCCCACTTACGCACCCCACGGACAAAACTGAAACAGGCGCATCGGCGTAAAAGCGGCAACCGGCTGCAAAAGCCGCAACGGACGCAGTCTGAAGGCTTCCTTGGGCCTTGGCCATACCTCACGCAATTGTTGCCAGTTGCCAGATCCCCACGCATTCTGGCAATTTTTCAAATGTCATCAAATCCAACACTGGCATATCGCAAATGGTACGTACAACTTTGGGTAAATTGAAAAAGGTCCAGATATTTCCACGTTTAGAAAGCGAGCAAGATGAGTTTTGGACAGTCGGAATTTGTGAAAACGTATCGCAACTGGAATGGCGTAAAGTGTGGCCAAGGCTTTACTTAACGGCTAACGCTCCCAACGAAGCCTACCACATGGGAGTGATCAGTTTTGCTGACCAAAAAAAGAAAGTCAGAAAATTTGTCGAAATGAAATACAAGAAAACCTCAAAACAAAAAAATACTGTTGCTTACCTTTTACTCTGCAAAGGGATCAGCATGTTGTCGTGATCCCGCATTTTCAACCATAATGCCACGTCGTTAGTTTCCATTCTGAAAATTCCAAATCAAAGGCACTGCAGCATTGACGCGTTCAGAAGAGGCGAACTATTTTCCATACCACTAACTAGTATCCTAAATAGAAACATCTCGTGAAATGTGAGACGTATTCGCAAATTCAGGAGATCACCGACTAGCATACGATCGAGTTTAAAACTTCCACAAATCTACTATTACAAAACTGTATGGCACTGTTAACTGATGAAAAATCGAGAGCTGCGAAACGCGGGAAGTGAAATGAACAACAAGAGGGATCGGGTAATGACACCCGACCAGATAAAAGTAGAGAGCAGCTAGCTGAGTGCAAACTATAAAAGATATTGAAAAGTGCAAGCCGAAGCCTCTTTAAAAATGTATTATAGATCCCAACAGGTCATCGACGTGGTACAGTAGTCGAAACCAGGCGTACAGGGATTGCGTAGCTGCTGTGAATGCACAAACTTCGCTAAAATTGTCTTGCCGAGGTTGTCCTTCAGAAAGCAGGGAAATCACGTGGTGCGCACTTGCATATGCTGAAACTGAGAATTCAAAAAAGTACTCATAGTTGAAGTTCAGTAATTATAATGAACCAGTCACGACCAAAATTGGGATTTCTATATTTTCGAGGTCCTCCATTTCATTAACAATGTCTGTTGTTGTGATTATTGTTAAGAGTAAATGGTTAGACGAGTTCATGCCAAAATCACAGCTTATTTCACTTCAGTGGTACACATAGACATTTTATACGACATCACCAATCATTTATGGATATGTGACTGACAAGGTCGCACCAACAGGTATATAGCTTGTAGCCAAGAAGACTGTAGTCAAGTCATTCTTGGTAATAAATATGGATAATCATGAGGCGTCTCCAAATCAATGATAGTCCACTAGTCATGACTACATAAGATGTAGGTTAGAACCTTCGTGCGCCTGCGGCATTCTGCTCGAAGGAAACCTTTATGAGGTCATAACCTTGCAAGGCGGAAGAGAGAAAACATGTAATCGAGTACGTGCACCGTGATCAGGTACAGGCAAGTCTCTAGTTTTACCCCACTGATGTAAGTTCAAGAACAGGCGTCTCCAGTTCAAACCTCTAAATTCTGATGTTTAAGTTTGTTCTTAACTCCTGTGTCCTGGCCTTTTACGCAAAACAGACATTGTTAATGGAATGGAGGACCTCGAAAACATAGACATCCCAATTTTGGTCGTGACTGGTACATTATGATTACTGATCTTCAACTTTGAGTACTTTTTTGAATTCTCAGTTTCAGCATATGCAAGTGCGCACCACTTGATTTCCACGCTTTCTGAAGTACAACCAACCTCGCAAGACATTTCTAGCGAAGTTCGTGCACTCACAGCAGCTACGCAATCCCTGTACGCCTGGTTTTGACAACTGTACCAAGTCGATGACCTGTTGGGATCTACAATACACTCTCTTTAAAGCTGGTTTTCGATTTGGGAAGGGCACCAAGTAAAGAATAACCGGTGCCAAAAAAATAATGTACCATAGATAAGCGAGCTCAAGAGCAAATGAAAGCAAATGATCAATGAACAACACATGGCGAATAACTACACCGAAAATCGATGGTGAAACAGTTTACTATCTAAAATGGACGAAAAAAGCGTCATAAGGGAAAGAATAAAGTAAGAGCAATGAGAAACATTACACCAACGTCGGTTATAGAAACGCCGTCGCGCGTATCGATTGGAGCGCGCTTTCCTCCCTAGGAAACTAGGCTGCTAAAGCTATTTTTGGCTCTAGCAATGAGGAGAGGAGGAGGTTTGAAACCAAAATGTCAATATATACTAAGCTTTAGGTGTAGAGCAGATTTATGCAAAAAATTGGAAAAATATGTGAATTGGAAGTTTTGCCAACCTCAGGTTATCACGTTGGGCACGCTCTTCATTCACATAAGTTTTTCATAATTCTTCATACTTTGTTCCTTAGTCCTACTACGCATATACACACCAAATCCCGCACAATTTCGTCACCTCTGCGTTGCAAACGGGTCATTTCTCCATTTTTTTTTGGTAGCGGGAAATTTTCAGAAAAAAGTTTGCCACAATCTTCATTCACATGATTTTTCATTGAAACTTCTCAATCAAGCCCGCAGGCCGGCATGCATGTATGTACCAAGTTCCATACTATATCGTCATCTGTGCGTTGCAGACGAGTCATTTGCATTCACATCTTCACTCACCAATTTTGCAAGATTCTGGGAAGAAACGCTTATTCCTCCCATTCACATATGTTTTTCATAGTTTTCATACTTTGTTTCCACTAGCCTCTCTTCGTTCGCTTACGAAATTTGGTGCCGTATCGTTACGCATAAATTGAGAACTAGTCATGTATGCTGTTGCAAATAGCATCGGTAGCGACGTCGCGCGTACGTCAATTAGCGATGGCGCGGTTTGACGCACGCAAACTCCAGTGTTAACCTGTTGAGGCACATAGCATGTTAAGATAAGTAAAGGGCATGAACTACCAATTTTTTTCTTGGGCTTCGCCCGGACCTCGCAAAAACGATATCTCCTTTGCTTTTTCACCCAAAACGATTTCCAGCTTGTCATTAACTTCGTGCCGGGCCCTGTATCGAACAGTACCCCTCATGCATTTTTGGAGTTTTTCTGGTTGTGGTCCATGGCAAGCAAATAAAAACCGACACTACTTTCTTAACAGCCTGATAATAAAGGCTGTAGGTTATAAAAGTTATTATTCATTTGTGATTAGCAAGCCCCCCCCGGTGCCAAATCCCAGCCTCGTAGCTAAAACTTTGCAAAAGATCAATAAAGTCGATGTCGAGCGATTACGAAAAGTACCTTAGACAACAGCCACGCCCCAAAGTATGTGTGTGAAAAGCTGGTTCAGAAAATGAACGCATGTCTGGACCATACCTTCGATAGTCTAGAGACAGGGCGCCAAAAGTGAAGGTTGTTTGAACATCTGACCTCATAAAAACTGAAGGTTGTTTAAAGAAGATCAGAGAAGAGAAAATGACGTAAAACAAATACAAAAAGCAAAAGAAACTGCTGAAAACCGAATAAAAACGCTGCAATTATTTTCGCTCCAGGACCAGCAATTCGCAGCACGGGGGAAAGCAAAGAAGAGCTAATTTCTTTTTTGTGATTGTTTCAAAAAGCATGTTTTGGAAGAAGTTATCAAGAGGAAGATAAACAAGAAAGAAATTAGTTATGAAAACGCAGAATTTCTTCTTTACTAACATAAGTCGAAAAGAACGTTGAAGCCAAATTTAATTTTTGATTCGTCCTTTGAATTTTTACCCTCGCATTGACGTTCCTGTATCCTGGGACGTTGTCTAAATTGCTGCGCTTATTGTTCTAAGCAACATTCGCCCAAGCTGGAAAAAAATCGCTGCGAAAGCACTGAAACAGAACAAGGTAAAGAAAAATCCACTTATTACGTTTTTTTCGCAAAAAATTCCACAATAATTTAAGAGATAAGGGCTGGGGGGTTGTCAGCTTTGAGAACAGAAGCAAGATCTATAGAACGCACGAAAAAACTGCGTGAAAAGAGTTAAACTGGGAGAAAAACAAGAGATTTTCGAAAACAAGGTTTTTGCCGGATTTCTCGACAATCAAAAAAAAGTGGTTTTGGGACGTTGTCAGCGTAAAAATAGAGATCAAGAACTTCAAAATGATATGTAGCTTGCTAAAATTGGGTTAGAAACAGAGAAGAAAAAGATACCAGAGCCAAATACCCCGCGCCCCGCGTTTGGGGTAGCGAGGTAGCGCGCAGCGCGCGGAGACGCAGACGAGCAGCGGAGACAGACCAGAGCCGACGGGGCATTTGGTATGGCTCTGGTCGTATCCGCGGGGTCTCGACGAAACCCTGCAACACTATATATCATTTTGATCGTCATAACGCGACGAGGAGAACTGACAACGCCCCAAGCTTTGAAAATCACTCATTAACGAGATAGACCAGCGTTTTCGTATGCGACTCTCTGTGCAAGACTTAAGCGCAGTTCCTCGTTTTCAACTTCCAACAGCTTTCCTAAACTGCTGAGACTCGATTTTGGTCAACTAAGAGGTTGACTGCGAACTGTTGTCCTGAATTCTGACGAAAATCTCACAGAAACCTTCTTTTTAACGTAAAAAAGGCTATGAAAACGCAAATTCTCGGTCTCGCTGAGATAACCTAAAGATACTATTCCCTATATTCTTCATTAATATTCATACCGATATAGTCAAAATATTAACATTTTTTTTCAGGTGAAGGTCGTGTCCCCTTAGCCTTCAAAGTGAAGGTTGCCAGAGTGCGTGGGTCTATGTATCGAGGGTATGGTCTGAACCGTTACGAAAGCACGACTTGTACAACGGCGATATGTACCGGTACAACGTTCTACCCACGCCCTACTTGCTCTGTTCTTGCGTGGAGGAGCTGACAATAACTAGGTCGCGCGGCAATCGGCAGTTACGCCCAAACTAAGAAATTATTCATGGAAGCACTTTGTCAGAAAAATGAAAGAGAGAGCAACATTTGTAGACAATGAACATTCTTTGATTTTTTTCAACAGCATGTGCGTTTGCGAAGCTCCAGTTGTTTGCTAGATATGAAAGGTGCGCTATAAGTTGAAGGCTGCATACAAGTGCAAGCCTCTGCGAAGCAGAGCTGACGCACCGGTGTATAGCAGTGGCGATTATAGTTGTAACGAGCGGAAGTTTCCATCCAATGAGCGAATATCGAATAATTGATTTTAAAATTTTTCCGAACGAATGAATATCGAATACTTGACTTTCGAAATTTTATGAACGAACGAATATTATTCGATTTCTCATATTCTTCGAATTCAAATAATCGAATAAGGGCGCATTCTAATATTCGAACCTTCGAATATTTGAATAACCGAACTTGATCGGATATTCGAATGCGATATTCATATATGCGTATGAAGTATTTGAATATTTGAATACTCGAACAATTGTTTTCCAAAACTTCTCGAATAATATTCGACTATTCGAATAACTATCTTTTAAAAGCCCTTGAGTATTTGAATATTTAAATAAGTCATTTTTCCAAGTCGTCGAATGAAAAATTTTTTCGAATAAAGACCTTTATCATTTATATGAGTATTTGAGTGATCAAATAATTGGAATTCCTCAAATATTCGACGCTACTCGAATATTCGAACAATCGAATATTTAGAATAAACTTGAACGAACGAGTATTATTCGATTTCTGCATATTCGAATACTATTATTCTGTTTCAGCTATAGTGGCAATCCCAGGATTTCTATTCGGGGGGGGGGGGGGGGAGGGGGAGGGAGGGAGACGAAATTTTCTTTTGGATGTTCCCAGGGCCCATGATCCCGAAAAATATTTTCTTTACAAAGCTAAATTGAATTTTTGAAAAAAAAAACTTTCAAGAACTATTTGATCATTCAGAAGTGCAAAAAAGTTATTTGTACATTGCTAACACCCATGTGAACTTCATAGCCTTAGCGAATCGAAAGGATTTCGAAATCATGAGGACCGGTGCTATCTCACAAGGGAGGTCGGAATAGTCGAAGTCCTTTCTAAAGAGCCATATACTATTTTGAAGAGCGTTAAAGCTGATTCCGAATCTGTCTTCGTTATCTGCCGAGGCCTCCGGACGCCGAGTTATGAGCGTTTTTGGGTTGAGAAATTGAATGCGTAATTAGAGCAAGATTCGTCAGATTTGCTCAACTGGTCCAATGTTGGTTATCAGAGCACTCCATTTTGAAGGATACCTTGTGTCCAAAACACTCATACTACATGTTGCTTTATTTAGGCGCTGAAAAATCCGTAGTAGTCAATTTTACGTAAATTTTTACGTTCATTTTTCGTCTTGAAAAAGATTTATAACTCGGCACGCAGAGGCACTCGGCAGATAATAAAATCAGATTCGGAATCAGCATTTAACGCCCTTTAAAATGGTATATGACTCATTCGGAAGGGCCACTTCGACTAATCGGACTTCCCTTGTCAGTAGTCATGTGCAGCTTTCATGTATTGAATAACCGGTCTCACCGCCATCGTTCGCTAGTCGACTACGACTGGCCAAGAAGAATTCTTGTCACTGAAATGACAGAGACTGACGCACGATTATTGTAAATTGCCCTATGCAGCCAGTACCGAGAAGAAAGTAACCACTTTGCACCTAGCAGATCGTGAAAATGAGTCATATCAAATGTCGACGCAGTTATTGAGAACCAATGCGATGCAGTTACTTTTCAAATATTCAGATAAATACCGACCGGTACGTGTATCTGACAAGGAAAAGCATCTAACTTAACCTGCCTCGAAAACACGTGTATATTCGGAACGAGCTCAAAACGCTGACTCCAATTACATTTTCTTGACTGCAGGACTCTCTATGAGGCGAGTCATGAGCTTCTCACCATACGTGGCGGGATGCCACTAAATTTGGCATAAGGCCTGCACCTAGAATCCACTCCGTTGACAAAAGTGCTGACAATGAGATACCAAGATAACATTGGGTCATATACTTTCATATTGATAGTGAGCATTACGGTTGCGTCATCACTATCTAGATGTTAATATCTAACAACAGTCCCGATAAGTATGCAAATTTTGCACAGAAAGAGGAAGACATAAACTTTCTCCAGAATAAAGTTTCGCAGCTGAGGACGGATATCTGGTAATATCGTTTCAAGCTAATTGCACATAAACATGTCATCGAAAGCCCGGACTGATTTTAGGTTGTCTCTTTCTTTTTGCATTCGAAATTTTGCGAATATTCAGGGTTCCCCGAAGTATGTTCAGCATGTTCAATAACAATCAGGCCAAAACTGGCATCGCGAGAGGCGCTAGGGTTTTGCTTCAGGCCTACGAGCTGCTTGTTTGCGCCTCTTCAATTTCTTCGATTTCTCCGACAATGCCGAATGCAGCGAGCTAGCACAGTCAACATGATCCCGGTTAGGACAGACTGTACATAGTGTTTGATTATTTATTATTTTTCCAAAAGAATCTTCAGCCGTCGTTTAGGTAACACTTTGTAGAGCTGTCTTCAACTTATATTTGGATGGTGCCAACACCGACCATTCTTCATTACTGTAGGATCACGGTAAAAACAATGGAAAGAGTGTTGACAAAGCGTCGAAATTTGCCTCGAAAAGAGGTAAACAATAATACCGTTTATCATGACTTATAATAACGGGCTAAGGGTTGTTTACGTCTTTTTGTGTGTCTGTGTGTCTGTCCGTTACGAAATTCGTAGAACATGTTCCAGCCAACCTCCTGAGCCCAAATTTTGCATGGCGCATGCTAGCAGCATGAAAGTCCAATATACAAAAGCGCGAGCAAATCCGTCGAGTGGATCCGTTAAAAATTGCGCGCCAAACGGGTCCACCTGGCTTCTGTACCGCAAAATTCGGTCCGTATCACCACTTTTTGCAGAGTCGTGGATGAGTTTGGTAAGCAAATGTGCAAGCAATGGAGTTTAGCCAGAAAAGTGGTCGAAAGTTTACTACATAACGAAAACGGCGCCAAAATGAATTGGTTGTGTAAATGGTCAACTGGCCAAGGTTCTAGCCAAGCGTTTGAGAAGATTTTCGCACAGAGATGTAGCTCACGGTTATCATTACCTTTATGGCGACTACCAAGCCATGACAAATCCAAAAACCTATTCAAATTTGCGTTTGTCTTCCTGCGAAAAGTTTCATCCACTCGAAATCACCGATCTCACGTGAAAAGACTTTCTAAATGAATGGTTGTTTACATTTTTATTCGTGGTAGTCGGCATAGCGCGGTGAGTTCCAGTGCCACGATTTTACGAGAATGAGTAAGGCACATAGATAGTAGAGCCAGTGCGAACCTCTGCGAAGCAGAGGTGACGCACTGGTAATATGATAATCAGGGTCGCCGAATAATATGCACTTGCACTTTTCCGCAATGCTTGGTTTATAAACCTTGGTTATACCCAGGTACATCTCAGCTGTTTTCAATTACCTAAAAATAAGATTACACTGAAAGCTGAAAAGCTTGGAAAACTGTGCTCAAGTTATCCAGCCAAATCAGTGTGCGCGGAAATCGCGTTACAGATTTTTGCAGATTTTTAAAAAATTTTATCGGTAAATCCCAATTCACATTGTCGCTGTATGCTGAAAGCTATGTACTTATACGCAGTACTAAAGATGACTAGTGTCCATAATAAATTCTAGGTTTAAGCCGGATATATTAGGTTGTCCCGAAAGTTCGTTCGCACCATATTCAAAAAATCACAACTTCTTTGCATCATAATGATTTTGCGCAATTTAAATTCTTTTAGAAAGCATAAAGCATGTAGTTTCCAACAGTTCCCTGGGAACTTCCCAAAATGCTCAGGTTGCAGAGATAAAAATGAAAGAACGAGATCATCCGAAATTCGGAATTTTTGAGCAAAAATTCTAAAAATTCAGAAACTGTGCGATAAAATCCAGAACAGCCATCATCCTAAGTTTTCCTATATTTTATTACTAACTGAGTCAAGTTTGTGCTGATCGAGGTCTTTTTTCAGAAGTTATGATTTTTTGAAAAAAATGCCGAAAAATCGATTTCTTAAGAATTCTGAGGAAATTAATTTTTCGGCATTTTTTTTTCAAAAATTCATAACTTTTGAAAAAAGGGCTCGATCAGCACAAACTCAACTGAGTTAGTAATCAAATATAAGAAAAATTATGATAATGGCTTTTCTGGATTATATCGCGCAGTTTCTAGATTTTTAGAATTTTTGCTCAAAAATTCCGAATTTCGGATGATCTCGTTCTTTCATTTTTATCCCTGCAACCTGAGCATTTTGGGAAGTTCCCAGGGAACTGTTGGAAACTACATGCTTTATGCTTTCTAAAAGAATTTAAATTGCGCAAAATCATTATGATGCAAAGAAGTTATGATTTTTTGAATATGGTGCGAACGAACTTTCGGGACAACCTAATACAAATTGGTATTAGATGTTAATAAAATACTTTGTGGGAAATCTGCATTGAGTATCTTGAAGTTGGAATGTTCAAGGACACATGTCCAGTCATCGAGCACGCTTACAGCGTGACTCTCAAAAAAAGGATAAACTAACGGTAGCCTATCCGTTTTTACAAATGCACATATACCTCAAAAAGGTGCCATACTTGACTTAAAGTGTTCCCTAAAGCTGATAGCAAGAAGACCACTGGAGATACATATGATTTTATCTTGACATTGTGTTATTGATGTTTTCTTTGTTGTAATAGCCACGTTTCTTTGTCGCATCAATGGATGCACTCAATAAATAAACAAATAAAAACTGTAAAATTCTAGAGCTGAAGGCACTTCTGCCACTGCCAAGAGAATACATGCAATATGTGACGTGTTGTGCAACTGCATGACATCGCGTCAAAGGCATACACACAGACGGGCGACACAAGTTACTCGCTCCTTCTAGTCGCCAAAGCCGGCCAAGTAGCTGGCGATGGGAAGCGACAGTTTCGTCGCCGAGGTACGCCCAGGCATGTACATGCTTCTATCGCGACATTATCGACAACTAGTGGCAGAGAATCATATACTGTTTGAGAGGCGTCCTTCACAGGGATTGTAGCGCTATGAATATTTAGGAAGGAAAATCAAATTAGGTTCCTGTAACCAGAGTTGAGCAAGAAGTCAGGCACAAATCTTTCGAAAACAACTCCCCCCCCTTCCCTTCCATGAAAGCCCTCAAAGGACCCCTTCTTCCTCTTAACCTCCGGAACCTTAGAGTGTGATATTCTGAGAACCTCATCCTTTTCTAAAGAGTTTTCAGATTGATTGTACGTCCGATTTTCTGTGACTGCACTTCACACACACGTGATTTGACGGTTGGTTTTGATCTGAATGGGCCTATTGAAAGGGCCACAATTTTGACAGAGGTGGAGCGTTCGGCTCCAGTTCCACTGTAGCAAGAAGAAGCCATGAGCTCAATACTCATACCAGGGAGGAAGCGATTGGATTTTGACGGCTAGTTAAGGGGGTCAGGCGCAATCCCCCAAAAGCTCAGGCAGCCTGACCTTTTGAGGGGCTGCGCCTGATCCGATCAACTTTATCATCGAAAAAGCTTTTCCACCTTAGGGACCCGTCATACTCCACCGAAAAAAGTCCAAATGCGCCCCAACAAAGCCCAAAAGCGCCCGAAAAAGCCCAAAAAGCCCAAAAGCGCCAGAAAAAGCTCAAAAAAGCCTAAAAGCGCCAGAAAGAGCCGGAACATTCCAGGAACTATTGGTAAAGTTCTGACATTATTTTGATGTGCAGACGACAGAAAATGAAGCGAAATGACTCGTTTGCGTAATCAACACACATGCCTTAGCGCCAAAACTTGCGCGCAAAAGAGAAACGTTTCGGCTTTTCTGGCGCTTTTGGGCTTTTCGGTTTTTTTGGCTTTTTCAGGTGCTTTTGGGCCTTTTTGGGCTTTTTTGGGCGAAGTATGTGACGAGCTTTTGAAGCTTGTCAAAAGACATTCTTAAAACTGCATCTATTCGTTTTGTTTAGAAACCCTTGAGAGTTCTTCTGAATGGTATATAAAAGTTGGCAATGCAGTTCAATGCGGATTTTTTGGACGGAAAGGACTAAAAGAGAAGTGCTAAGGGAGAGTTAGGGACTAAAATTTCGCATCAAAATAAGGTGTAACCAACAACTTCTACAATTTGGAAAGACTTTTCAAGAGTTTTGAACTGATATGAAGAAGCTTGAACTCCTTGCAGTCTTGCAAGATGAATGAATTTGAAGTAGGAAGTCCAAGTTTCAAAAAAGCGGACTGGTCTGAAAGTCACGCATTTTGCTCTGTCGATTGCAGGATAGTTTTCTTGGACCAACATCGATTGAAGGCATTGCTGAGGGTATTTGATACTTCTTTCTTTGTGAAAACTGACCAATGATTATTTAATTCATAGAAGAAAACAAGGATTAAACTGTGAGTTTTTTTACCAAATTAGAGGCGTTTGCTCGCCGAAAGCACGGTATTGAGCAAAAACTCTAAATTTTTCAATCATGTATCAATCACAAATCTTGTCTTTGGGCAGTGGATAAATTCCTCAATAAATTTCCACATAGAAATACTAATTAGATTTCGCTAAACGTTGTCTTTGACACTTCGAGTTTGACATTTTTCTTGCATTGCTGAAGAGATCTCAGCAGCAGAAGACTGGCTTGCCTCAGAGCAACG